CCAGGGGTGGGCTTTTCGAGTGGGTCAGCTGCCCGAATTATTTGGGCGAGATTGTGGAGTGGTTGGGCTGGGCCGTCATGACTTGGTCGTGGGCCGGGCTTGGGTTCTTCGTGTACACCTGCGCAAACCTGGTGCCGCGGGCCGAGCAGAACCATAGATGGTATTTGGAGAAGTTTGGGGAGGATTATCCTAGCAATAGGAAGGCTGTTATTCCATTTGTGTACTGAATTACTGATGATGAAATGAAAACTTGTGGTGAAATTTTGTTGTTGTTTTTCTTTTCTCTCCATTGGAGTTGAGCTTGTGCTTTGTTTGTTGTTTTTGGACACTTGAATGGAATTGTAAAAATAGATTCCCATCATCAATACTAGCAAAAATAGTTCCCCTTAGCAAGTTGATCATCAAGTTTCTTCTTCGTTAGCAAAATGCATTCAAATCGATGAAAAAGCACGTTTACCTCAGGCGAAGCTGTGATTAGTTCCCAAACCAGCATTTGCTCGAGATTTTATCGAAATTAGGCAGGTCGTTCCCGAATATTAGCCTTGGCTTCTAAAGTATTGAAACTGCAGAAAAATAACTAAATTCATATGAAGAAACCCTCATTAGAAAATAACTAAAGTATTGAAACCATTTAGTTGAATTAGCTTTTTTACCAGGAAGGAAGTACACAAAATTATGCTAAACCACATTTCATGAGGCACAAACTCAAACTAAAACTTAAATCAACTAGACAGCAAAACATCAAATCAGCAAGACAACAAAACATTAAACTAACTCATCGGACAATCTCAAATTGTTTGAAGATACGAGATACTCTCTCATGAGAAAATAAATTGTGAGTTCTTCATGAGATGAGAGAGTATCTCTTATCTTTTCGTTGATATTCAAAGCGTGCAAGACAAGCAAGTGAAAACTGGTGACACCCAAATGGTTGCGTTTGTTTTTATGGACTTGAAGTAAGTATTTAATTAAAATAAATTCGATATATAATTATCTTTTACAAATGCCATATTAAATTTTTTGTTTTTTTAAATCCAGTGAAAATTTTATAACTGCACTGTTTGGGGTGAATATGTAGACAAACTCTTGGTTTTTGAGAGCTACTATAAACATACTGGTCTACCATAGGTTCTCATCATGCAGCAAGCGCGTGAGAAAGAATACCTTAATAAGTATATTAAAAAAATTTCTTTTTTTTTTTTCTTTTTCACTTCCAGTAACTAGAGCCTACATCTAACATCTTATTTTACTTTTGTAGAGAAAGTTCAAGTTGCTACTTCTTTAAACGTGACTAGGCTTTTGCTTTTGTAGAGAAAGTTCAAGATACTACTTCTTTAAACGTGACTAAGCTAATTGCACACGACTCTGTCGGGAAGATGACTTTTGGAGAAGGTTAAATTAAATTATATATTTATCAAATTTATATATTTTATTTTTAACTTAATACAATTTTTTAAAAAATACATTTTTATTTGTAGGTACAGTATAGATGAAATACATTTTTAAGTAGTTCTGCTATGATCATCCACAATGGTAAGAAAATATTTATGACCAGCATAAGAAGAAGAGACTGAAAATGGAACCCAGATATCACAATGAATAAGATCAAAAGAGCAGAAGCTATAGAGGTACTTACAGAGTATGGTAGTCTCCTTTGTCTAGAGTAATGACACATATCATAAGGATTACAATCAGAAACATTGTATGAAACTAAAGAGGTAAATTTATTTTAGATTAGAATATTAATTAACACTATTAATTTTAATATTTGAATAATAATATATATATTATAAATTTATAACTATGTATTCTTTCGATTTTATTAAGGCTAAAAGCATATGGATATGTGCTTTGGTTGACTCTATTGTGGACGATTTGTGGTATTTTGCTTGCCGCAGTTGCAGCAGCAAATGAACAATTCGGACAATGGTTTCAAGTGTAGCAAATGTTCAAAAGAAGTTGGGAAGTTTAGGTATTTTAATATTTTTTTTTTAATTTGACTTATAAATATTGAGGTTGATTTTTCATTATAATTAATTTTTTCTTAATAAATACAAGATGAATTTGATTATATCGGATTCAACTGCTAATGCCGCTATGGGACAAAGAATCTGAGATCCTAATTGGAAAACCATGTCATTCTTTGAGAACTGAATTCATACGCAAGGTTATTTTTCTATACTCATTTATTTTAAGTTTAAAAAATTTTAATTTTTGATAACTAAAAGAAGGTCATGTTATTTTCTTCCTATACAATGCTGAAACTTTTGGGTTGCCTGAAGAAATAGAGCGTTTGGTTGGACAGACTGTTCTGTTTAAAGTTAGTATTCAGCAGCAGCAACAACGCTACACCGACACACCTTCTTTTAGTGTTTGTAGGGTAGTCAATGACAAAGATGTTGTTTCCAAGTACAACCAGCTGATAGTTGTACACGAGGTTACTTATCAAATTTTCGATGTTCTTTTTACATAATTTCAGAATGGTGCTAATGTTTTGTTTTCAATATTTATAGGTGTATGACTTTTTGACCATGCTTCAAAAAGATGACAACAACTATTATGTGGTACAAAATTTATTTCAGTTTTTTTTTTTTAAATTGCATTACCGTAATGATTTTTTTTATAAATAACATTTTCTAAATAATATTATTTAGAAATGCAATTTATAAAAAAAAAAATTGAAATAAATTTTGTACCACATAATAGTTATTGTCATCTCTTTGAAAGACACCTATAAATATTGAAAACAAAACATTAACACCATGCTGAAATTATGTAAAAAAACATTTAAAATTTGATATGTAACTTTGGGTACAACTATCAGCTGGCTGTACTTGGAAACAACATCTTTGTAATTCACTACCATACAAATACTAGGTGTATCGGTGTAGCATTGTTGCTGCTGCTGAATACGAACTTTAAACAAAACAGTCTGTCCAACCCAACCAAACGCTTTATTTCTTCAGGCAACCCAAAAGTTTCAGCATTCTAGGAAGAAAATAACATGAATTTTCAGTTATCAAAATTTTAAATTTTTTAAACTCAAAATAAATGAGTATAGAAAAATTTTAAAAAATTTAAATTTTTTAACCTTGCGCATGAATTCAGTTCTCAAAGAGTGACATGGTTTTCCAATTAGGATCTCAGATTCTTTGTCCCAATAAACAATAGCGGCATTAGCAAATTCATCTTGTATCTATTAAGAAAAAATTAATTACAATGAAAAAATCAACCTCATTATTTATAAGTCAAATTTAAAAAAAAAATATTAAAATACTTAAACTTCCCAACTTCTTTTAAACATTTGTTGCACTTGAAACCATTGGTCGAATTGTGCATTTTGCTGCTGCAACTGCGACAAGCAAAATACCACCAATCCTCCACAATAGAGTCAACCAAAGCACATATCCATATGCTTTTAGCCTTACAAAAAATCGGAACATCATAGTTATAAATTTATAAGATATATTATTATTCAAATATTAAATATTAATAGTGTTAAATTAATATTCTAAACTAAAACAAATTTACCTCTTTAGTTTGATACAAAGCATCTAAAGAAGAAATCGAAATATCACCCGACTGCAACTCTTCAAGTTCAGTCTTGATAACAGTTTTTTTACTTTGAGGTGTATTTCGTCTTCCTCATATTGCTTGTAGTGTACCTACAAATAAAAATGTATTTTTTAAAAAAACTGTATTAAATTAAAAATAAAAAAATATAAATTTGATAAATATATAATTTAATTTAACCTTCTCCAAAAGTCACGGATCTCCTCGACAGTCGTGTGCAATTAGCTTAGTTACGTTTATAGAAGTAGTATCTTGAACGTTCTCTACAAAAGCAAACTAAGAGGTTAGATGTAGGCTCGTAGTTACTGGAAGTGAAAAAAAAAAAAAAACATTTTTAATGTACTTACTAAGGTATTCTTTCTCACGCGCTTACTGCGTTATGAGAACCCATGGTAGACCAGTATGTTCATAGTGGCTCTCAAAAGCCAATATTTTGTCTACATATTCACCTCAAACAGTACAGTTTATAAAATTTTCACTGCATTTAAAAAAACAAAAATTTAATATGGCATTTGTAAAAGATAATTATATATCGAATTTATTTTAATTAAATAAACTTACTTCAAGTCCATAAGAACAAAGGTAACCATTTGGGTGTCACCAGTTTTCACTTGCTCGTCTTGCACGCTTTGGATTTAATATTGTATATTATCTTATGTTACATATTCATTATTTTATTTATATATGACATGATTTTAACGAAAAAAACTAATGTATTATAGTAAACACATTTGCAAATTTCCGTGAAAAAAAAATCATTAACTATCTAATTATTTTATTCGAAATATGTTTCTAAATTATCCCATTTCTTCAAAAAATCTAAACGTTTATGACAAAATAAGTGATATGAATTTCATTTGGTATGAGTATGAAAATCGAATATTAGGTTGATTTGTTATAAAATCAAGGTGATATGATTATCAAATTTTAGCATTGTTATAATAACTTGTCATAAGATATTAATGACAATTTGACAAATTGGTATGTATTTCTCTTGAAAATTTATAATTTAATTCTAGAGAATTAGTTGACAAATTTGAACGATAAGGTAACTGACAGCAACTAGAAAATTGCAGGATAATAATGTGTGTGTATATATATATATATTAACTTGGACATAAATGGAATAGTCAATTATTTATAATTTAATAAATTTCTCAACTACTTAATTTTTTTTGATTTGGATAGTTTATACAAAAATAAACCCACATTAATTAATAAACAATGTAAGTTTTATAATTGTACTTATCATTCACATAGATTTTAATATATATTATAAAATTTTACAAAATATTTATTTTATGGAATCACATTGTAATCAAATCAAATTTCATAATAAAACTTTTAAAATGAAACTTATTTTCAAATGCATATAATGTAATTTCTTTTCAGTTACGTGCACCGTACAAGTTGTGTACTAATTTTAGATACACATATTTTATGTAATCTGGAACAAATTAAATTTCATATAACATTTTCAATAAATTAATATAGGTAAAATTTATTACAAATCGATTCCCAATTTTTTTCAAATTGTTAAATGAGTATTTATAATTTATAAATATTGACGAATATCTTTTACCAATAGATAAATTGTATTACATATCCATTCAATGATTTTAATTTATAAATATTATTTAACGAGCATTTTTAA